CAAATTACTAAATATATATAAAAAAAAATATTACATTTCATAATATATAATGCTCGTTTTTATTCATTAACTTCAGTTATACCCATTTCTGCAAATTCTTGTTGTACTTTATCACCTACATTCATCTTAGTAGAAAAACTGTCGGGTCTTTTCCTTTGCAATATTGGTTTCTTCATAAGCGTCTTACGCACTCCAAAATTTTTCCGATTATTCAAAACATGTTTCAGGAGTACTTGCTTAGGCTCCAGGATTACGTTAGAACGATCCAAACGATCCAGAATTGTGTTAGAATGAGCAAAATTCGAATCATTGAAAACTTTATATTTATTATTATCATTATTGTTGATAACATAGGTATTGCTTGAACAGTTAGCTGCTTTGTGTCCTTCTGTTCCACAGGAAAAACAAGTTAAACGGAATATAGGTCTGTTGAACAATTGCTGAACATTCATCCTTGATCTATGAAAGGATGGTTGCACATTTATCATTGGTTGGTTTAGTGGCTGACCATTTCTCACAAGTTCCTCTTTCTTGCCAGTTCAGTCCATGCACAGGCTAAAGCACTTCCCGCTTGCGCTCCATTGATCTGCAGGATACTAGATTTTAAGTAAACGTAATACGTGTTCATGGTCACTCATATTAAAAAAAAAATTTTCCAAACAAATTTTCCGAATTTTTAATTAATAAAATTATTTACTAAACATCATTAACTTCTCTTATTTATTCCAACTTATATTTAATTATTATTTTCATAATAAACAATTAATTTGATAAACAAATAACATTTTTTAATCCACTCACCACCCTCATTATTTATATCAAAACATATACTTTCCAAACCTCTGTAAATCAACTTTTTATCTCTTTCTGCATAAATTTCACTTTTTCAATAATAATTCATAAGTTGTTTAAATTTATCCCTTTTTTTATCAACTCTTTTATTTCTCGGTGCATATGTTTCACTTCAATAATAAAATTATAACTTTTACGTTAAATATAAATTAATTTCTTTCTACCAAATGAATTGATTTCTTATCTCAACATTCTATCAATTTAAAAAGTTAACAAAATTTACATTACTATAAATTATATCCCCTCATCATCTTTTCCTTTTATCTCTCAACTGTTTTTTTTTAACACAAAAAAAAACAACTATTAACCACGATATGCTTCATCCCTTAAGAACAAATATTTAATAAAACAAAAGATGACCTGCAATATACATTTTTGTTAAACCAAACGAACTATCAACATATTCAGTTATATGTATCTCATTTTAATATACCGAACTATATACTAAGATAATTCTTACTTTTACCTTTACATACTTCTAACTATTCATTTATATATATACACATATACCAAACTATATCTCAGTTTTTTTTTTCATGAACCTTAAACAAATATCTTAATAATCATAACTCGAAATGAACCGAACAAATATTTTAATAATCATAACTCGAAATGAACCGAACAAATATTTTAATAATCATAACTCGAAATGACCCGAACAAATATCTTAAAACTAGAAATAGACTAAGATATTCCTATTCCAATTAATGTAATAATTAAAATGGGGATTTAAAGTTACTCTAAAATCCGCACAAATCCTTAACTTACCATTAGCTTTCCTTACCGGAACTAATGGAGGTGCCCATTCACTATATCCAATGGGACAAATTATTCCATCTCTTAACCAATTATCTAATTCTTTTTCCATTTCTGCTCTCCATTCAAACGGTACCCTCCTAACAGCACAATATTGAGGAATATACCCTTCTTTCAAACGTATATCTACTTCATAAAACGTCCCAATCTTTCAACAAAAATTTCTTTATATTTTTTCTTCAAATTAACCATTGCCTTCCTTAACACCACTAAATCTTCTTTACTTTCATTTTCTATTTTTTTCTCACCAATTTCACCGGAAAATTTTGTGCCACAGACAATTTTTCTCTCTCTAAATTCGAATCTTTGTAAATTTCATCTCCACTCATATAACTATCCTCCAATCCCGATTCTCTTGAAATCAACTTTTTGTCTACCTCAAAACTAAAATTTTCATCACTTGTTTCCAAAATATTATCCATCTCTACATCCACAAAAATATCATCAATATCCAAATTAATATTTTCCCCAGATTCTTATATTATAGCTTGTTTATTATTCACACGATCAGGTTCCTCCTGATCCATTTTTCCATTTATAATTATTCCATTTCTCTGAATTTCCTCATAATCATTTCTCATATTTTTAATTTCCTCGATTTTTAATATTCCAATTTCCGAAATTCCATTTATTTCATTATCACAACTTTCCTGATTATCATTTCCCATATTTTCCATTTTACTATTCTCCAAAATTTCATTTTCCACCAATTTATTTTCCGAAATTTTAATATCCACCTCCTTTACGGATGTTTCTAACGTTTCAATGTTTTTATCATCCTTTTTCCCTTGAAATATATTCAAAAATTTATTTTCTAATCCAAATTTAGATATCCAATTCCATCCCAAAATCGCACCAACCACTTCTTTTATTATCCACAAATCCAAAAATTGTATAACTAACACTGGTAAATTCACTTTCCCCAAAACCGAAATTACAGTTCCATTTAACTGTTTATTTATCATTTTATCATTTATTAATTGCTCATTCGGCCATAAATTTGAAAATTCCTTATACCCCATTACCGATATAGTTGCCCCCGTATCTAATAACATTACAATTTCCTTGTTTCCCACATTAATTTTCACCCTCGGACATTCATCATAATTAATATCTTTTTTCACCAAATTTGGTATAATACAAATTTGTATATTTGCCCTGGGCCACTCATTCCCCTTATTTTTAACCACTAATTTATTACTATTTTTCCTTTCTTCAATTTCCAAATTATTTTCAATATTTAATACATTTCCTAATAATAAAGTTTTTCCCTTGTCCAATTGGTTTTCCGATGTAATAACCCCACATATTGATTCCTGTCCACCATATAGTCATGTGACAGGACAATCTCTCACATAATGCCCAATGTTACGACATTTGAAACATGTTACATCTTCGACATTCCTTTTCTCATAGATATTTTTCCCCCTTTTTTTATATATTCTACCGCCGGAAATGCTTTAGAATTTTCTTGTTGATTCTTAAAACACTTATCATGACCATGACCAAAATTTCCACAATTTCCACAAGCCTTTTGATTTTCATTCAACAATTTGTACGCCGGAACATAACACTCCGCAGTTTTGTGCCCTTTATTCCCACACCTTCTACAAATTATGATTAACACATTTGGATTTCTTCTTTCATTACACCCTCTACTGATATGTCCAAACTTCCCACAATTATAACACTTTTTATTTTCCCTTTCATCATTCCCATACACTCCTTTGCCTTCATTTTTCTTTTCCAATTCTTCTATTTTAATTTTCATTTCTGTCATTTCTGTTCTCAACATCTCTTTTTCCTTTTTAATCAACTCCAATTTTTCCATTTTCTTCCTTTCTTCCATTTCTTTTTTCTCTATTTACTTCCTTTCATTTTCCCATTCTTCCCTCATTTCTCTTCTCATTTCTTCAATATTAACCTCCTTTTTTATGTTTCATTTTTTAAATTTCCTTTTCCTCTTTTTTTTTTCATTTTCCCCAATTTTTCCATTTTCTTTTTTTTCAGACTCTCTAACGAAATCTGTTTTATTAATATCAATTTCACATACATTTTTTTCAGAATCTCTGACGATATCTGTTTTTAATATTTCCTTTTTTCATTTTCATTTTTCACCATATATATTTCATTAAATAAATTTTCAATATTCCTCTTAAATTTTTACCACTAATATTCCAAAATACATTCTTAACGGCTCAACATTTCTGACCTCAAAATAATTGTTGGTCTTAATATTTTTGCGATTTAGCATTTCCTTAAAATTATTTTTACTTTAAATTCTTAATATTCAAATCTAAAATTCTTTAACTCTATAATAAACTTATCAATAATTTTATCAAAAAAATTTTCACTGTCTTAAATGTAAAATATACAATACCGAAATTATTCCGAAAATTATTAATATACAATAATACATAAAATTTCAAAAAAAAAATCAAATTTTACCTTTTTTTTAACGAATTTCCTTTTTTCTTTTTATAATTCTCTGGCCTGTTTCGTAATGGTAGTCATTGGTCTTCCGGATTAATTTTTTTTTAAATACAGGTATCTTTTAATTTGGAGGCACCACTTTTGGGATTATACTTATCGAACCAGAAAACGAATTATATTCAAACCAAAGGCAAAAATTATACTCAAACCGAAAGAAACAAAATCTTTTATTTTTCAAACACTAAAATCTAACAATGAATCAATAATAATAAAATATATCCAGTCCAAAAAAAATCAATATTATTTTCTTAAAATTAATAACAATAATAATAATGTACATATACCTAGAACATATATAAACTATAGTAAATTTTAGAATATTTAGGATTTCGTGAAATAAAAATAAATATTTTATTTAGGAACATAATAAATATAAGGTAGATCCCACCTGGGAAATTTTGGTAACTCCAACTTCGAAACTGTCGACTTACAAATAAAAAATTATCCCAGCAGGCTATTGTTCTAACTATAATTTACTAATATGTATTTTCTTCTTTTTTTATTTTTTTAACTTTTCTAATTTATTCTTTAAATAATTTAAAATAAATTCTATAAAAACATATTATAATAAATAAAGGTTCTTTAAATATATCAAGTTATTAAAATTCTCTCTTTTAAATTTATATTTTTTTTTATAATAAATTTTTTTATATATTAAAAATGTGCCTTATAAAGATGAGTAGATAATTTTTTGTGTTTTATAAATCAAGAGCAATTTCCAAGGATATCGATTCATATTTTTAATATAAAGAATAGTATCTAAATTTTATATCTTAAGATTTTTTATAAATATTTTATAAAAAAAATATACTTTTTGGATTCTAATTATTATTATATAAAAAGAATCTAATTTGTTGTGTCAAACTAATTCCGATTCGAAGTAAATGCTTTTTTTTTATTTATTATTGCACATATTTTTCAGATCATTTATGTATATAGTAAATAATTTGGTAGCGTGTGCTATATTAAAAACTTAATTAGAAATAAATTTTTTATTTTCTAATGAATTTACATTATAGTAATGGTTAGGACTAACGTTTTAGCAGATTGTTTAAAAACTATAAATAATGGTGAACGAAAAGGAAAACGCCAAGTTTTAATTAGACCTTCATCCAAAGTTATAATCAAATTTCTAACAGTAATGATGAAGCATGGTATTTCAAATAATTTAAAATATATGTAAATAATCATTTGCAAGGTTATATTGGAGAATTTGAATATGTTGATGATCATAGATCTGGTAAAATCGTTGTAAATTTAATTGGAAGGTTAAACAAAGTATAAAAACATTCCATTTTAAATAAAATAAATGTTTATTCATCATAGTGTGGTGTAATTAGTCCGCGATTTGATGTACCATTAAGAAATTTAGAAAAATGGACCTCCAATTTATTACCCTCAAGACAATTTGGGTATAAGCTTAGATTTTAAAAAAAATTTATTTTTTTTCTACAGGTATATCGTTTTAACAACCTCATCTGGTATTATGGACCATGAGGAAGCACGACGGAAACATGTTGGTGGGAAGATCCTTGGATTTTTTTTTTAATATAAACATGTGTGATTTGATATGAAATAAATTATTTGAATAGCCAGCAGGATATATATAATTTTAATTACATCGTTGTGGCAATTAAGTTTTATTACTATTATAAAATTCTATGGTAATAGTATTTAATAATATATTTATTTTTTATTCATTTGCCATACAATATTTTAAAATATAATTATCCTTCAGATAACAATATAACTAGCACATTGACAGTAATCATTTAATATTTTAAAGGCCCATTTTATATATACTGAAAGTTCATCTTGTATCTTATGATAAAATAGTTTAGAGTAAAAATATTAGCTAATTACTTGCATTATCCTATATTTTTGCTAGGGTGATGTTGATCCACAAATTTTTTCCTGATCTGATATTTATAATGATTTTTATTGCCAACTAATTTTAATATTTTTAAAAAAAGCTACTAACCTTCATGAATGATTATTTGATTTTTTTATTATCTAAAAGGATATTTGCAATGTGTTTGCAGACTTAGCTCTCTATATCTGATTTTAAAAATAATTAAATCAAGATTTTAATTAAAATATTATTTCTTTAGCCTCAAAATTTTGACAATAAAAGTCCAAACCTTTCTACAATCTGTGGGCAAAATCAATATTGAGTTATTTACTTATGGCTATAATTAGGGGTGTACCAATACCATTTTTTGGAGGCCCATCCGATATTCCCAATATTAAATTTATTGGCTGTTTACCGATATGATATCATATATAATTCTGTAAAGATACCAATGGTTTTAATTTACTTTTTATTAGTATAACATCTATAAAATTTAACTATACACCATAACTTATATATTTAAATATATTATAATGATCAGTTATAGTTTATATTTAATTCAATTGCAATTTTAAAAATATAAAATATTTTTATTGTTAAATCACTTTTGTTTTATATAATAAGTAATAACATTAATCTATATACATAATAAGTAATAAACAATTATATTATGAAATATGAAATAAATATTTAAAATAGATATCTGTAAAAGTAGGCCCTTGAACCGGCTTTGGGCTGGGCTTAATTTTTTAAATATCGTGTTTGGGCCAGGTTGGGCCTAATATTTGAAAAATTTTGGCTGGGAAGGGTTGGGCTTTGGAAATTTTTTAAAATATATCAATGTTATATTGAATTTTTTATAATAAAATAAAAATTTATAGAAACTAGACGCCATATAACATGTCTTTTTTTTTATTTTGAGTAATTATAAAAAAATTAATTTCTATATTTAAATAAATTCAAACTGGGCTGGGCTGCTATATTTTTTAAAATATATCAATGTTATATTGAATTTTATAATAAAATAAAAATTTATAGAAACTAGACGCCATATAACATGTCTTTTTTTTTATTTTGAGTAATTATAAAAAAAAATTAATTTCTATATTTAAATAAATTCAAACTGGGCTGGGCTGCTATATTTTTTTTAAAAAATCGGGTTTGGGCTGGGCTGGTAAAACTAAAAAAAATTTCAGGCTGGGCTTGAAAAATTAGGCCCGATGCAGATCATTAATTTAAAATAATATTTAACATATAGAAATTTTTTTTAGAAATATCAGAGGTCAGCTTGTAGCGATGGTAGGTAACTTTCATTATCACCAGCTTCACTTAAAACAGATTTTGAAGAGATTTTCACACTTATAAACAAAATGTACAAAAAAATAACAATATGGCAGAATGATTATTATTCTTAAAAAAATATACATAAAAATAGATTTCGATTATATTTATAAAAATAAATGATTTTAGATATAACTTTTTTTTTAAAAATTTTATAACATTTTATTTTTTTAAAGACGCCATTTTATATCGGAAAATTTTATAGTGTTGGCCTATAACCTATAGGTGAAATATCGGCCAGATCGGATACAATAAAAATATCGGTACATCCTTGGCTATAATCTTGAGATCATTTTTTAAAATTGCTAAATTGAGTTGTTTAACACTAATGTGTATTTCAGATAATATACAACAAAAAATTGCGTTAACTAGTCTTTAAATATTACAAAAATAAATTCAGTTCTTTTCATTAAACTATTTTAAAAAAATATACAATCATAAAATGATTGGCCAGATCTGATATTTAATATTGGCATGCCCTAATTTATGCCTAAAAATAAGATTTTTTATATTTAAATTAAATACAAATCAAAAGTATAAACAAAAATTGATATAATATGAAATATAATCCGTTTAATCATTTTTAATTAATTATTTTATCTTATGGAATAGGCTTTTTATTAAATGGTTTCAATTTAAAAATAGAATATATTATAAATTAAATGAAAAACAATATATAATTTAATATAAAAAGGGAGCATGTCACCCTAGAGAGGAGTAAATGCTTAGGAGTTTGATTGGCAGATTTTGAGAGTGTTGATTAAGGTTATCATTTATTGTGGTCACTTATAGTCCCCATTTTTTGGCTTTGATAAGATTAAATCATTTACAAATATGCCTGAGGTGTTGATGACTATTGGTATGAAGACATAGCATAAGTATATATATTATTTTTAAATTTTGTACACACATCAGACGGCACCTTGGCCAGGCCACATTTTTTATAACGAAATATTATAAATCACTAGCTAAGAAAATTTTGACCACAAGGCTTTGTAAATGGTCCTTCTGCAGTTCTCTGCCAGAAACCATCATGGGTTAGGTGGTATAGACCTAATATATTTTCCAGTGGACCTAGGTTTCTGAAAATTATTATGGGCCTGGGTAGTGTTATTTCCGATTTTTATAAAACGGACAACTTAATATTTTAGCCATAAAATAGTATATGTTTAAACTTTTGTTCCTTCTATAAGAAAAATCTTCAGGCTTGTGATTATTTTTTTGGATGAAATATTGATTATACACCAATGACTATTATTGTCATTGTTTAGCACTATTAAAAATCGACTCAAAACATTCAGTTTAGCAACACTAAGCTTAGGTTTAAAATTTAGCTCATTTAAAAATAGTTGCTAACTTAAAAAATTGATATTTTTTTATTATAATAAATTTCAATATTGTATACAAAATGATTGCTCAGTATACAATAATGTTTATTTTTGTTTAATATAATAAATTGGGCTAAGCTTTAGAAATTTTTTTGAAAATACTTATGGGCTTGAGAATTTATTTTTATTAAATATTGATGCGCCTAAAAAAAATTTTAAAGTTAGGCTGGGATTGATCAAACATTTAAACCCACGAAAACCAGCCATATGGGAATTATAGAAAGATATTAGATGCTATAATTTTCCAAAGATTAATCTAGAAAAAACTTATTGATATTATATAAATTCAGGCAAGCCATCTGTATTGTATATTTATGGAAATTATATATTATAATAATTAAAAATATAATTTTCTTTTCTTATGGCGATCCAGGTTAGCCAGTTCTCTTCTGATTTATCTTTTCCATTTTTGAAAGTCCTGAGCATCAATATTTGTAAGATTCATTTTTTTCATATCCGCTGCTGTTACCTTTATCCACTTCATCTTAGGCCTTCCAGTCTTGATCCTCCTACTTCCATCAAGGTCCATCTCTTTACTCAGTCATGTTTTAAGTTCCACATGCAATCATCTTAGTCTATTTCTTCTCATTACCACTCCAATCACTTATATTCCAATTCTTGCTCGCAATTCCTTGCTATTTTTTCTTTGACCTTCTTCCATGCTTGTCTAATCCTTGCAACAACAGCAGAATCTACACCAACATCTTCGTTTAGCATATAGCCCAAATAGAAAAACTTTTCCCAGGGTTCACCCATTGACAATATGCAAATAACCTTTTCTACCTTATCATTATTATATCCCCTGGTGCGTTGGATTTCATTTCTGGTTCCCTTTCCACATACACCACAAGACCAATCTAGGAAAAAATTCTCATAGAAAATAATTCTCTTTATTTGATCCTATGATGAATTATTAAATTATTTTTAGAAAATTAGCAAAATAGGAAAAAAATCCCCAAATCTTCTCCGTTTTATGGCGATTTCCAGGTTTACCCGGGTAGGCCAGTTTTCCCTCTGATTTTTCTTTTCCATTTTTGACGGTACTGATCATCAATACTTGTAAGATTCATGCTTCTCATATCCGCCGCTATCACATTTGTCCACGTCTTCTTGGGTCTTCCTCTAGGTCTTGATCCTCCTACTTCCATCATAGTGCATCTCTTTACCCATTCATCTCTTGTCATACGTTCCACATGCCCAAACCATCTTAGTCTATTTCGTCGCATTACCATACCAATCATTTCTATACCTAATCTTGCTCACAATTCCTTGCTAGTTTTTCTCTCTCTCAGAGATACCCCACACATCACCATCCTCATCTCTGTTCTTTCTAATTTGGCTTCGTGAGTCGCTTTCATTGCCCATGTTTCATGTCCATAAACTAAACAACTCCTCACACAGCTTACGTAAACTTTCCCCTTTAACTTCAGAGAAACTTTTTTATTTGTAAGAATAGACGACATCTCTCTGAACTTCTTCCAAGCTTGTCTGATCCTTGCAACAACGGCAGAATCTACACCACCATCTGCGTTTAGCATATCGCCTAAATAACAAAACTTATCCACTTTTTCTAGGGTTAACCCATTGCCAATATCCAGACTACCATTTTTTAGGTTATCATTATTATGTATCCCTTTCATGCATGTTCTACAAATAAAGGTCATTCTTTCTAATATCAAACTGCTTTTTTCCCGCTACATCTTTTATGTACCCATTTCTGGCATCTGGTGCATTGGATTGAATTTCTAGCAACTCCTTTCCCACATACGCCACAAGGCCACTTACCGGATTCCTCCATCTTTAGATTTTCCCCACCAATCATCACCTTTGTTTTTGATGCATTCATTTTCAGGCCCTTTGCTTCCATAGTCATCTTCCATTTACTAACTTTATCCCTCAATTCTCCCTCACTGTTTGCCATTAATACAAGGTCATCTGCATATAATATCTCCCATGGAAGTCCTTCACGCATTTCTCTAGCCACCACATTCATTACTAAGATAAATAATAATGGACTCAGCACGGATCCTTGATGGAGTCCTACCTTCACCTCAAAGCTGTCACTATCACCATAATCCGTCCGTACTGCTGTTTGTGCTCCAACATACATTGCCATCACTGCGGTAACCAACCATTCCTCCACACCTGATTTTCTCAAGGCCCATCTAGTAATCTCACGCGGCACCCTATCAAATGCTTTCTCCAAATCAACAAACGCATAATAGAGTTTCTTTTCCTTCGCAAGATATTTCTCCTGAATTTGTCTCACCACAAAAATTGCATCTGTCGTGCCTTTTCCCGATGTAAAACCAAACTGCATTTCATCAATTTTAATTTGTTCCCTTAACCGCTTCTCTAACACTCTCTCAAATACTTTCATTGCATGCTCCAAGAGTTTAATAGCTCTGTAAGACTCGCAATCTAAAGGATCACCTTTCCCCTTGTATACTGGGATAATTATACTTCTTCGCCAGTTCTCGGGAATAGTACCTTCTGTGACAATTTGATTTGCTAAATTCATTAACCATTCAATCCCTAAATCATCAGAACCTTTAAACATCTCTGATACCACCATCGTTAAACCTGATGCCTTCTTTTTCTTCATCTTTTTCACTGCTCTATTTATCTCGTCCTTGCCAATTTTACACCCTGGACCTTCTACCTTTGCACAACTAATATTATTATCCCATTCATTTTCTTCATTCAAAAGTCCTTTCATGTAAATCTTCCAGGTGTTCTTAACACCACTACCATCAATCGCCATTTTTCCTTCCAGACATTTGTTTTGCCATTCGAACCATATTTCCAATTCTATCAGCGCATTCCATTTCTTTAGCAAACTCGTGTCTTTTTTCTTCTTGAGCCTTCGCTATTAATTTCTTAGCATTTCTTTTAGCCATCTTGTAAATATCATTATCACTATTTTATTTGCTATTATACCATACTTTGAAACACCTCCGTTTCTCATCCACGGCTTTCGCTACCTCCGGGTTCCACCACCAAGTCTCCTTATGTCTAGGCGGCCCTTTTGTCCATCCACATACCTCCTCAGTTGTCATTACCAAAGCTTTCTTCATGGCTTCCCACTTGTCATTCACTCCAGATGCTTGTGCCACCTCCGCCTCCCTAATCGCCAATGCAATATTGAATTGACGTCTAGCACTCTCCTCCTTTAATTTCCAAACCTTCAGCCTTGGGACAAACTTTCTTTTAGTGACCCTGGCACCTTTAAGAGTGAGATCTCCTACAACTAATGCTGATTTATACATTCCTCTCCCGGTACCACTTTCACATTTTTTACTATACATCGATCACATCTCCTTAATAACAGGTAATCCACTGCACTTATGGTACTACCCGACTTATAAGTCACCAGCTTCTCTGATTCTTTCTTAAACATTGTATTACAGACAATAATATCCATAGCATCACTAAAATCTAAAATTCTCTCTCCTTCCAAATTTCTCATGCCGTAATTGAACCCTCCATGTACTCCTTCATAACCCTCACTACTCGCTCCCACATGTCCATTCAAATCACCAGCCAGAATAATCCCCTCTTCGTTTGCCAGTCTCGATGTCACCCCCAATAGACTGTCCCAAAATATATCTTTCTCTTCTTCACTTCTTCCAACCTGAGGAACATATGCCGAGATAATATTATATAGCTTTCTACCAAAAATCATCTTGATAACCATTATCTGGTTGTCTAGCCTTTTCACTTCTACTTTGTCTACTAATTTCTCCGCAACCAATACCCCAACTCCAGCCTTACCATCATTACCTCCTTGCCAAAAGAATTTATACTTTTCGTTAGTCTTGCCAATCATTCTGGTCCCATTTCCTTTCCATCTAGTCTCCTGTATGCAGCACACATCTATATGTCTTCTGTGTAATACATCGACGACTTCTCCCGCTCTTCCCGTCATACTCCCAACATTCCATGTCGTGACCCAACTCGATCACCCGTAAACTGGTTTCTCCACTTTTTATCAGGTCGTTTATGGCCGTCATAAGTTTCATTTTCATGAATAGTGGTTCCACCAGGTTTCCCATCCTTCTTTTTGTCGTAGGCGGACGAGGAGGCCCACGGGGTACTTTGGGCTGTACCCCGCCCATGCTTTGTTGTAACCATAGGGAAATTTTGTAGCAAGGTTTTTACAATCGGATGCCCTTCCTGTCAACCTTTTTAAGTGGTTTTTACACTCCAACGAGGAGACGGTGATCCTATTCTAGACCCAGATCACAGGGAACCTTTTAGACCTCCATTAGCCGCCAAAAGACGTTGCCACTCCCCCGCCACGATGAGGCTGAAGGTAGGATTTTGGGAGAGAAGAAAAAACCCCCAAATAAAATATTTAAAATTTTTTAGAAACTCAACAAAAGAAAATAAAAAAAATTCCTCTAAAATTTTTCCAAATAAAAATTTCCCAAATAGAATTATAAAACAAAATTATTAACTAGTGATTAATATTAAACCTAACCAAATTATTATGAAATAACCCTGACCAATATAATGTTATGGCCTTATCCTGAACCCAGATTTGGTGAAAATTAAACAATATTTTTAAAATAAATGAATTGGTACCTAGTCTGTGATATTAAGCAAAATATAATTATAAGCTAAGTAATGGTCACCTATTTCCATCAACTTTTAGATATTTATAGAAAATCAAATTTTTATTATAAAAAAATATTTATTTTTATAATTTCTATGAAGTTTTAAGAAATATATTAAAAATTTTAATCAGTTGGGGATAAGAGGCTTTTCACAATTGACTTCAAAAATAGTTGGCCAATTTTTCAATTGGAATAATTTTGTTATGCAATATATGAAGTCTTTTTCTGATAATTTTTAGAATATAAAATATATTGTGTTCTGTGTCACAAATTTGTATTTTTCATTAGTTGGCACTAAAAACCTATCATGTTTTCCAAGATGTCACAAAACTATACTTTTTATGCTATTTACTAAATTATAAAGTATCAAATCTACCAACCGATTTATCATTTCTAATATTTTAAGATTTATATCGTTTAGAATTAAACCCGAAATACTGCTTAAAATAAATCCTCCAACTTTGAGAATAAATACTCAACGTTCAAAAAATACTGAATATAATTAAGTTATTTTAACGGCGGGGTTATTGATAATATGGTAATTTGATTCTGGGGAATAATTTTCTTTGGGAATTTTATCCCTGGTAATTATTTTCCTAGGGTTTATCCTGAGAATTATCTTCAAGGGGATATTTTTTCTGGGGAATTATCTTCCAAGGGATATTTTTTCCTGGGATTTTTTCTGTGGAATTATCTTCCAGGGGATATTTTTTCCTGTGATTTTTTTTTCTGGGGAATTATTTTCCAGGAGATTTTTTCCTGGAAAATTATTCTCGTAGATTTTTTTCCGCTTACTCTGCAAGGCAGTTGCCGGATTTCTCCATATTCAGATTATCCCCACCAACCTGTTGTCTTGCATTTATTTTCATGCCCTTTGCTTCCATAGCCATCTTCCATATACTAATTGTATTCCTCAACTCTTCCTCTCACTTTGACATTAATACAAGGTTATCTGCATATAATAGCTCCCGTGGAAGTCCTTTGCTTATCTCTCTAGCCACCACAGCCATATAAGATATATAATAATGAACTCAGAACGGATCACTGATGAAGTCATACCCTCACTTCAAGGCTTTCACTATCTCCATCATATGTCACTACTGCAGTTTATGTTCACACATACATTGTCATCACTGTCATAACCAGCCATTCTTTTACACCTAATTTTCTCCAGACCCATTTAGGAATAGAATTTTAAATAAATCATAATGCATTTAAAAATACGATCATAATAAGGAATCATCATGGCTTGGCCTATATTTAATATAAAAATTCCCATATCAGGTCCCTAATAATTTTAAAAAATTTTCTTAAGCCCCATAATAATTTTAAGAAAGTTTTCCCAAGCCTATAATAATTTTGAAAAAATTTTCCTAAGCCCAGCCAAAGTAACAAAAATTATGAATGTAAGACAAATTGTGTCTATAACACAGCTTTTATTATATACCGGATAAATATAGTACCCAGTTTAATTAATTTACTGACCAAAAAAATAATATATAAAATAAATTATCATTATAAAATTAAAAAGAGTATAAAATTTACTGCCTAGGTTGTTGAAGATAAGACCTCTTAATTTTCTGTGCTACTACAATGTGCTTGTTTATTTCCAGTATCTTCATGATGCTCGGATATTGAAGCAATAAGATTTAGCTCGTGTTCCTATTTCTTGCTACGATAAGGTGCTTGTTTATTTCTCGCGATGTTATGTTAAATTTTTTAAAATTAACAACTAAATAAGAAAAATTTTAATGAAAATTATATAAAAAATTACAATTTTTTTTTGTTAATTATATATATTAAACAATTTTTCTAATAAATATAATAATAAGAAAATAAAGTATACTAACAAATTTCCACAAGATGGAGCCTTTTAAAAAAAAAATTTTCATAAAATGCATAAATTAATAATTCATGTAAAAGGTTTTTTGATTTTTTCAGAAGAATGTAGTTATTGATAAATTACAAAATGATAATAAAAATTAAAAATATTCGTAATAATTCAAGAAAACATAAGTTTCAAAAAAAAGTAGGAAAATATATTGTATATAATGAAAAAATAAAAAATTATTTCCCCAAAATATTATATTTTTAATGTATTTATTTTGAAATTTAAACTTTCTTTCCACGAAAAATGATGAATTAAAATGTTTTTATTTTATAGCTGCGGACTCGCATTTATTAATTTCATTATTTACAGAAATATATTCCCTCGTCCCATTTATTGCGAGATCATCTAGCTTCAGTCGGAAACAAAGTCGTTTAATTTAGTTTCACCTATAATTAATGTGAGGGTCTCAGTTATATTTTTATAAATATTCTATATCAGATAGGTTAGCTGTATTTTTAATTGATAGAATTATCAGAATTAGCAACCATTAACCTATTTTGTATATTGTCTATCAAGGCAACAATGAATTGATTTTACTAGATAATAACTTCTTATCCCTTCAATATTACCAATCCAAATTTATTTATTTTCTTAACTTCTTGAGATATTTTCATATGTTCTCCTTTAGAAATAAAATAAACTTTCATTTAGAATTTATAAAAGAGATTAGAACACACCAAGAATATCTTCAGCTCCACCTCCAGAAATTTCTAGTATTAATATTTTTTTAAATAAAAGGTATAATTTGGCATTCCGAAATTTTTAGCTATTTTTTTTGAAAATTTATAAATATAAATATACAAAATAACATTATGATGTAATACGATGATTTAATTTTTAAATTTTAACATAAATGAATTAAAAGTCATTTAGGTTAGATTTTTTCCATATGCCATTAAAACTATATAGCTTTCATTTACCTCTCTAAACAATTGGAAGTTCAGTGCTATGCTCAAATATTATGAATGGAATTAAGTAATTATGATGTAAGGTGTCTGCCTAAGTATCTTCCGGTGCCTGAGTGTGGTTTAGTTATATTTTGATAGGAAAATTGGTATTCTAAAAGAATATTTGTCCTCTTCATAGTAAAATATTTGTCATCTTTATAAAAAAAAATTCGTTCTCTTAAAATTTTTTATATATTATTTTAATATTTGATATGTAATGATCTATAATTAACATTAAGTATGATCATGTGTTAGGTAGGGTAGTTTGTCATTTTAAATAGAATTTTAAAGATATTCATTCTCTTCATGTAAGAATATTCGACCTATTTCAATTTAAAAAAAAAATATTATATAATAGTATATATGAATTGGTCTAATTAACGTTTAGGTAGTATCGCTTAATAAGCAGAAAGTAGTTTGCAGTCTACAATTTATCTTAAATGTTTAATTAATTATACCTCCCTAACATTGACTGGTTTAATATCTTCAAGAAGAGGTTGAGAATAGTGGCCCCTACATTTTCTAAGCGTTGGAAACAGAATACCCACCTATAAATATCTTCCTCCAAAAAGAGCAGTTAATTATTTTTGACTTTAAAAAGTATTTGTTTAATTAATAAGACAAATTAGGAGAAGAAAGAGAAAGCGAAATAATTTATAATTTTGTCAATATTTATGTGTTTAAAGAAAGTTTGTTACATTGACAAAATGGTATATTATTAAGAAAAGGATCATTCATGGTACCATGAAGTCTTGTTTTAATTAATTCGAATTCTACTCATACCTTTCGCACAACATGAGGTAGTAGATAGGAATAGTTATAAATATTTACACAAAATTGATAAATTTATAAAAAAAATATAAAGTGAACCATAAGGTAGAATAAAGAAATGGTTTTTCCAATCTGAATCACAAGTCTCCGAATCATTATCATCAGAAGAAGAAAAAACTAAATAATATATTATTATAAATATTTTAATAAAATAAATTTAAAATTCTCAGAATCTGACAAGTCTTTAAATTATTTAACCTACATATCATGTGTAATAATTATATCCCCTTTGTTGTCATCCTATAAATATTTCGAAACTTAGGCATTTCTTCAAAAACTTGACTCGGATTCAAATAGAAATTCTAAGATATCGATTATATCATCTTTATCAAATCCCCTTTGGTGGGAAAAATGATGTTTGATGTAAAATTTTATCGATTCATATTTAATTAAACTGCATTATTATCAAATCAATTACATCAGTAATCACATAAGTTTCAATATTATATTTAATAATGAAAGTATATACTACTTTTCTTTTTGAATTATAATATTAGAAACCTAGAACCTTCAAAATCAAAAGGTAGACTTCTTTCTCCCTTTCATGAAATCTTGTATCTTTGAAAAACATTTAAAAATTGTCATTATCTAATAAGATCAGAAAATGATACAAGACAATAATTAAAATTCTCTCGAAAAT